TCCCTGGGCAGCCTGTCCCAGGGCTCTGTCACCCTCACCCCAAAGAAGTTCTTCCTCACATTGGAGTGGAACTTCCCATGGTCCAGCTTGTGCCCGTTGCCCCTCGTCCTGTCACTGGGAACCACTGAAAAAAGCACCCCAGTGAGGCTGCCTCCAGAAACCACTCAAGAAACTGGCAGCAGAGGCGTGAAATGAGCGTTTAAAGGGATAATCTTCTGTGAAATGTTCAGTATCTGTCTCTTTCCCATTATTTCCCAGTGCCCCTTTGCTCTCCCCCATTAACCCTTCCAGTGGGGATACCTGGCTGTATCACACCCCTTCTGCAGCCCCGCAGGGTGAAACACTCCTTTCCCAGAAGGAAGGAGACCCATTAAATCCACGATGATGCCCTTTTCACTCGGAGTTAATACCCAATGGGACTCGTAGGCTATTCATGGAGTGGGCTGGAAGGTTTTTGGAAAGGGGGTGGATGAAGGTGGGAAGGAGAGTGGCCCAAGAAAAGGATGCTGAGCACACCAAGGGCAGGTACACCCATCCCCAGAAAGCCTCCCCAAGGGCTTTCCCCCACCATCAAGGCTCCCAAAAAGGGATGAGACTTTCCTACGCTGGATTAAGCACTGCTGTCTCTCCCAGCTCATGAATGCTTAGGAAAGCTGCTGCTTGGGCAGTGCTCATCCACAAAAACCCAGCAGAAGAGGGGAGCAGCCTCCCTAAACCAGCTGGAGATACCAGGTCCTGTGTCTTGTCCCACCATCAGCTTTTGGAGAGGTGGCTGCCACACTTTTGGCTCTAACTGCAGCCTTCGGGGCTGTTTCTGCATCCCAGGAATTAGTCACGGGGGTGGAGGGGGATGCTATTAATTAACCTCAACGATCCCCCAAGAACGGGGGCAGCCCTAATTACAGCCCTCTTGCCTGTTAACTTTGTTTGGGCTGATGTCTCTGCTTTTAAGGCAGAAACAAAAGGGAGCAGACTAAAATAAGTGATGTTATTAAAAAGGAAGGGGCAGGGGAAGGAGGGGGGAGCCTGTAACACTCCAGGAGCTGGGGTGCTCTCTGCGAACTAATTTCCTTCCCTCTGAGTCACCAGATTTGCCAAAAAACCCCCCAAAAACCCGCTGGTAAAAGGCACTGCTCCAAGGTTTCGCTTTGCCCGGGTGATAAAGGGCTAATTGGATTGCAGATTAAAAGTCACTATCACGGATAATCCATAAATGGGCTGGGGAAGGACAGGAATCATTCCTCTGGGCTGGGAGCCGGTGGATGCGTGCGGGCTCTGGCCCTTTGTGTTTCACCAAAAAAAAAGAAAAAAAAAATAAAAAAAATACTTTGAAGCACAAGATGAGCTGGGGGAAGGGAGATGGGATGGGATGGAGGGGGGGGAAAAACACGACTGGGAAGAAATAATTGCCATGTCTGAAAACAGTTACTATGGCAGCAAGAGTCTTCTTGCTGCTGGAGTGAAATGTTGGGGACCAGCTCGCAGTGCCTTTGTCAGATAACTCGGCAGACACACATTTAGATGCTAATGTTGGCTTTAACCTTGGCTGCTTAACCTTGGTGTGATGGAAAAGGAGGGGAGACAAAGCAGAAGTGTGTGTGTGTGGGGACACACACACTCATGGAAAAGATGGGTTTCCTCTCCTTAAATTTGCCACTCAATGGACTCGGCAGCTTCATCTCAGCTGCGATTAACGCTGTTATTTCTGCCTTTAATATTCAGCGGAGATCTTATCAGCTTATTTATGGATAGCTGGCATTAGCTGCAGCATAATTCGCCACTGCAACGCTCCTCTTTATCTCCATCCCCTGGGATCATCTGATATAAGGCTGGTTTTGTTTTTTTTTTTCAGAACATCCCCGAGGTTTGATCATCCCTTCTATCTAATCTTGCCTTTATTTATAACTCGCAGTCAATGCTGGGGTGAAAAAAACCAGGAGTGGTGAAAAGGAGAGAAGTCTCCCCTTTGGATTTTGGCTGTTGGGGGGGGGGGAAAGAAACTTTGGTGGCCTGTTGAGAAAAGGAAGGCTTTTGAGTTGAGGAAAGAAAACCTTTTGAGATGAGGCTTTAAACTGTCTTTAGGGGCGGTGAGGAAGGAGGAGGAGAGAGGGAGAGGGTTGGAAGTGATGGAGGGAAGAGGAGGAATTCCCTGGGGGAGGACACACAACACTGAGGGTTGAGTTACCATCTCCTGGGTCTGAGCATGAGCTTCCAGCCCGAAGGCGAATTCCTAAAACACAAAGCTATTGCACACAGATTAGCCACTAATTCCGGGGAGGGGGGGACACGACACAGCCCAGGTTGCCTTTTCCTTGGGATTATCCTTCAAAGAAAGCTTTTGCTGGAGCGATTCAGGCCAAAGAGATGAGAGCAAGTGCCTGATCTGCTGCTGCTGACACCCGCTCGCAGATACGACTCTGTTCTTCTATTTCTGGCATATTTTTTTTTTCTCTAATGCTCCACATCCTGGAGTCAGGTGGTCACTCACAGCTTTCTCCACGTGCCCTGGGAAGCTCATTCCCTTTATGTGGGAATTTTTTATATATATATATATAAAAAAAAAAGCCTGACCTCACGCCGGCTCAAAGGCAGCCCAGGTGCAGAAAATATTTTCATTTTTTCCAGCCTGTGCCTTGCTTTTCATAGAATCATAGAGTTGCCCAGGCCGGAAGGGACCTCCAAAGGTCATCTAGTCCGACCCCCCCGCAGTCAGCAGGGACACCCCCAACTAGACCAGGTTGCCCAGGGCCTCGTCGAGCCTCTCCTTGAATATCTCCAGGGATGGGGCCTCAACCACCTCCCTGGGCAACCTGTTCCAGTGCTCCACCACCCTCACAGTGAAGAACCCTCTCCTCATCTCCAGTCTAAATCTGTTCCCCTCCAGCTTGAATCTCTTTCCCTCCAGATTTTCTAATGACTGTGTGGAGCATGGAGGCAATGCCACCCCACACCTACCAAGGAGCGTGTTCCCCAGGGGAGGATGGAGCTCCCTGCACTTTTCAGGCTGTCACCCCGTGGTGGTTTCCATCAAAACCCTGCCTGGTGTCACCTCCGGAGACCATCACCGTATTTTTGATGACGGCACGTGTTAGCAGGTGGTCTTATCTCCACGCAAAGCTGCAACACACGATGAAATATGAATATGAGAAATGGTCGCACTCCAGCCTGACACTCCTCACCACCGTGCCGTGCGGCGAAAGCATCTTAAATTAAAAGCAGTATCTGTCTTCTGCAGTACACTTCTTCCTCCGGGGCTCTCTAGTGAAGCCGTCAGATGCAGTTGATATTTATTTCACAAATGTTGTAAAAGAGGGGATGGGTAGTACTGTAGGAACAACCCTGCTGCTGCCCTTTGGCTCAGGAGCAGTATCAGAGATCAATGCAACGGCAAAGAGTGGGACAGGCCTTCCCCAGGGCACACAGCAGAGGTGGCTTCCCTGTCCCCCCCAACGCTGGCCTGGAAGGAGGAATAACTGGGCCAGCAGCCACATGAGCTGTGGTGGGCCCTGGGGGGGCTGGCTGGCCATGAGGACCTTGGGGGCTTCAACATGGGTTGAAAGACAGGCTGAGAGAGCTGGGGTTGTTCAGCCTGGAGAAGAGAAGGCTCCGGGGAGACCTCAGAGCAGCCTTCCAATATCTGAAGGGAGCTCCAGGAGAGCTGGGGAGGGACTCTTTGTCAGGGAGTGCAGTGACAGGACAAGGGGGAACGGTTTTAAATGGGAAGAGGGGAGATTGAGATGAGATACCAGAAAGAAATTTTTTACTCTGAGGGCGGTGAGACACTGGAACAGGTTGCCCAGAGAAGCTGTGGCTGCCCCATCCCTGGAGGGGTTCAAGGCCAGGCTGGATGGGGCTTGGAGCAACCTGGGCTGGTGGGAACTCCATGATCGTTGAGGTCCCTTCCAACTCTAACCATTCTATGACTCTATGATGCTATTTTTATGGGGGAGGGGTACACTCTCTGTGGTTGGTGAGGATGACAAGTGGAGTGATAACCAGGCTTTAACCACTGGCAGGCACGGGGGGGGACCCCAGGAGGAGGTGTTCTCCCCACACCTTCTCTCCGGGGCTGTCCTTGGGCATTTGGGGGGGCTGTGGGGGCAGTGGGGCCGGGCAGGTGCCGGTGCAGTCAGGGTTGGAGGAGTGGGATGGGATGGGATGGGATGGGATGGGATGGGATGGGATGGGATGGGAT